CCTAGGCATGTGTTGCCATCGGTCTCATCTTTATCCTTTGTGTTGTGGTTATCCTTTGTGGTTTGGGATGTGTTCCCGTATCCTTGTTGAGAGTGTTGAGTCTTGTGTTGACTATTGCTCTTGGTTTTGTACTTATATACTTATGTATTCCGTTTCGAAAATGGCTTTACAACTTATACCGTATCTATGTATGTTATTTCACATGTATTGGTGGGTTACCAGCATTATTCGCTGACCGGGTGTCGTCCCATGTTTTATTGTGTTCTTTCAGGTGATGTCTAGACGAGTGCGCGGTCTAGTGCTCAAAGTGCTACTGTGTGCCAGTTTAGATGTAGCACTTTGAGACTATGGATTAGATGTAAACATTGCAGATGTTGCCGTAGCGTTCATCCTTTTGGTGAACGTGGCATAACATCCCGTGTTTTTGATTTATGTTTATCTAGTATCTTTCAGTCTTCCGCTGTGTTTGTTGTTTAGCTCAGTTATCTGTATGTTTAAGGCTTTTAAATAGATTGTTTTTAGGGGGTGTTACATAGGCCCAAGGTGGTCGGTACGAACCCCCCGCCTTATTGCCGGTACCATCGCACAAGTAATCATTCCACGAAAAGGTGCGAGGGAATTTGTGAAGAAAGAAGTTGATGCGCTGCTAGTCGCAGGGCACGTTCGGGAAGTCAAATATCCCGGCTGGCTGGCCAACGTGGTGTTGGTGCCCAATCCGGCGACGTGGAGAATGTGCGTTGACTAAACAGACCTCAACAAGGCGTGCCCAAAGGATCCGTTCCCTCTGCCCCGGATCGACCAGTTAGTCGACGATACGGCTGGATGCGCCCTACTTAGTTTCATGGACGCCTTCCGCGGGTACCATAAGATATTCATGCATGAATTCGATGAGGAAAAGACCGCCTTCATCACCCCGGACGGGGTATACTGCTATAAGGTAATGCCTTTCGGTCTAAAAAATGTTGGAGCCACCTACACTCGAATGGTGGCACGATTGTTCAAAGGGCTGATGGGAGGATCCATGGCCGCCTACGTGGATGACATGCTCGTCAAAAGCAATGCAGAGACAGACCACGTGAAAGACTTGGCGGACTACTTTAAGATCATGAGGAAGTTTAACCTGATGCTAAATTCCAAAAAGAGCGCGTTTGCGGTCCGCGGAGGAAAGTTCCTAGGATACATGGTCACTCGGCAAGGAATCGAACCGAATTCGGAAAAATTACGGGCCTGTAACACCACAGTTTTCTTAAACTTAATTAAGGCACTAAAACCAAAATAAGATAAACTAAACAGCGGAAATAAAAACAACTAAATAACATACGAGGTGTCACCGCCACAATCACCGCCCATGGTGACTGCACAGGCTACAAAAAGGGATCTAAGAGTCAAGCTCAAAAGTAACTACAACCAAGTAACTAGGGGATGAAACCCCGGTGTCCAGCACCAAACAAAAAGGATAGTTAACTACAACCCATAAAAACAAATAAGAGTTTAGACTTCAAGTTATCTAGCTAAACTAGTCTAACTCGTGTTCTCTTTCCTACGAACTGGGCCCACCCTGAAAGGGGTTAACAAACAACAAGTAGCAAACAAAATCCGTTAGCACGAATCTAAGTATAATGCCACTCAACCCTGTAAAGTGATACAGTATATACTTTGGAAAACAGAAGTTTCACATACTTGAAACAATTAACTTAAAGTACTTAAATCATACTTTGGCGTTAGCTTCTAGATGCTTGCAACCTAAATAATAAATAGGCATGCTTACAACAAATAACTCTTCACAATCTCACTTACACAAAACTCAGCTTTTTCAAGTACTCAACAATTTCATGCTTTCTCATATAACTCATAAGGCAGCTCAATCTTTCAAATACTAATCATGCAATCTCGTGCAAGTCATATAACTCATGAACAACTCGAGCTACTAATCATGCAATCTCGTGCAAGACATATATCATAAGCAAACTCATACTGCTAATCATGCAATCTAGTGCAAGACATATAATAACAATCTCGTGTTACTACTCATGTAATCTCGTGCAAGATATATAATAAGCAATCTCGTGATTGTACTCATGCAATCTCGTGCAAGATATATAATAAGCAATCTTGTGCTTCTACTCATGCAATCTCGTGCAAGATATATGACTCATAAGATGATGCTATAGTAAGTATAGATGCACATAACACTCTTTCAAAAGAATACTTTTCTGTGGAGGTTTCTTGTTGTCGTAAACGACTTTCTTCGCTATTCTTTTCTTTGAGTCTCAGTGACTCGCTTTCTTTCTCTTGAGTCTCTTGACTCGCTTTCTCTTTACTTGTGGGCGAGACGGGACTTCACCAAAATGTGAATGAACCCATTGGGCACGGCGTCTAGCCGACTAATCTCTCATCCCGCCTAGAGAACCAATCTCGTGGTTTCAAAACTCATACTCTGTGGAATCAGGCATCGAACTATCAGTGTGTACACCCCCTGACCAGGATTCCAAGCCTGGCGGGCAGTTTCCAACCTCGTAACGTGGGAATACGCCGCATTACATGATATCGGATCGCAATGTCCATTGCTTTCTCTTTTACTCCGAAAGGACATAGTCTAAACGGGTCCTCCAAAAATACTGTTTTCCTCACAATAGATATATATAGATAGATATCACTCATGCAACTCAAATCATACAACACTTTTCTTATGCAAAAAATGCACATAACTTCTCATCTCGGTTTCAAATGGCAAGATAATGACTCTCCAAAGTGGATATGAGACTTTAGAAAATAATACTTAGGCTCATGTTGGCCACTTATGCACTTTTAAAAACATAGAATGCTCAAAGATGCCATTTACTGTAAAACATGCTTCTAACTTCCATTCACTGTGAAACTCAACAATTTCATAAATCATGCTTGAAATTCACAATTTGACTAATCTTCTCTATAAACACTTAGCAATTAGTTGACATGCTATTGGAACTCAAAAATACTCAAGGGAAATCATTTATTGCAATTTAACTTTCAAGATAGGCAAACGTGCACATTTCATGGTAATAATAACTTGGCAATAAACTTAGTAATTCATAGTATACACTTTAGACATGTTTTTCTATCAAAGTTTAACACATTCTGTTCATGCTTTTCTACTAAACAAAGGAATAATAGCATGCTCAACAGGTAGAAAATCAAAGTCTGATGCTTCACTTCTCTATTTAATGTAAACAACTTCTGTAACAATTCCCTTTTTAAAAACTAGCACAAATTGCTCAAAACTTAACCAAATTCAACGAAATCAAAGCCAAAACGTGCGTCAAGACGGCCCCGAGGTACCGAGCCACAAGGGCCCGCGACACCTCATCTGAAACGACACGTAGCTGAGCCACAGGGGCTCGGCCACTACACAAAGCAAACTCAACGGAGCTAGGGCCGAGCTCCACTAGGCCGCCGCCTCAAACCGCCTAAGACGCGGCTCTAGGAAATGACCCTCTCTTAGGGCTGTCTCCTAAGGCCGGTCAGCCACGGTGCTAGCCAACGGTCTCCCTGGTGAGCTGTTGGCTAGGGCCATTAAACTCACTGGTGCACACTGTCTGTGCACCAGAGGTCTTCTTCTCATCTTCAAAACATCTCAGGCAAATTCTAACTCATCCAAACCATCAACAACACATCATAAACCAACACTAAATCACTTAATAGCTCAAACACTTCAAATATCTAGCATTTCTACTCATTTCTACATCAACAAAAGACTTCACATAGTCTTGAAAATAGCTTTTGGAGTCCACGGGTTATACCTTTGAAGATTTCTTCTTCTTGCTTGGATTCCACCCTCTTCCTTAGCTAGCTACAACCTCCTTCACCTCCTAAACGTCTCAAACAAACCATACAACTACTTACTACCAATATTTCAGAGACTAAGCTAGGAAGCAAGATTAGAAGGAAGCAAGATGAGTGGATGAAAATGAAAGTTGAAATCATACTGTGTTTTTCCTCTTGTGTTTGCAGAGCTCCAAAATGTGGGAAGCAAGGAATGGAATCAGGAGAAAATGAGAGGTTACTATTCTTTTTATATGGGTTCAAAACCCTAGGAGGATTCCCTATGATTGGTGGGGGGCAAAAGAGTAAAATGGTTTGCTACATGATGAATCAGGATAAAGCTTTTGGATGGCTAGTGGTCCACCATGCTTCATGGACCATGGCAAGAATTGCTATTTTAAAATAGTTAAGGGTTGAAAAAGGAATTTTCCCCAAATGATTACTAGATAAACACTTGATTTAGGCTTCTCAGATTTCTCCTGGTTTCACTCAGATAGGTTTCTCAGTTAAAAACTTGGCACACAGTGTACCCGAAAATTAAGGATGTTGGTTTTCAATCAAGTCTTGGTGTTGAATTTAATTTAAAGTGGTTCAAAATAATTTATTCAACACCGATTTCATCGCAAAAATTTTTATGGAGTGAAAATTGGCTATTTTGGATTTTCTTAAAATCGGATTATAAAATTAAATTTTGGGTTGTCATAGGGCCATCCTGGATATCCAGCCACCCAGCAGTCTCAAAGAAATGCAGCGGTTGACAGGACGGATGGCTGCCCTCAGCCGACAGGGCCCTCCCCGTCTTTGAAGTTATGAAGAGGCATGACGGGTTACGGTGGACTGGAGAATGCCAGGCAGCCTTCGAAGACTTGAAGAAATACCTCTTGGCTCATCCCCTCCTATCTAAACCTAAGGCGGGAGAGACATTGTTGTTATACCTGGCTGCGTCCCATAAGGCAGTCGGAGCTGTGCTGGTGCGGGAAGAGGAAAAGGCTCAGCTGCCAGTCTACTATGTTGGGCGAACTCTGAAGGGCGCGGGAATCAACTATTCACCTCTCGAGAAAGTAGCATTCGCCCTAGTCACGACAGTCAGGAAGTTGGTGCCTTACTTTCAAGCCCATACAGTCCGGGTTCTGACCGACTTGCCTCTTGCCAGTTTGCTGCGCATCACGGCCTCATCCGAACGGCTACTCAAGTAGGCGATGGAGCTCACCCTATACGGAATCGAATACGCCCCGCGGCCTTCCATCAAGACTCAAGCCTTAGCTGACTTCATAGTAGAATGCTCCGCCTACCCGGTCGAGGGCTCATTGGTCGAAGGCCCAAAAACAGCGGAATTGTGGGAAATACATACTGATGGTGCGGGCGGCTCCAAACACTGTATGGGTGGGGTAATGGTCACAACCCCTGAAGGGTTCCGCCTGTACTACGTCTTGAGGTAAAATTTCCAGACTTTGAATAATGAGACAGAATACGAGGCGGTTATCGGGGGGAGGAGGGGGGGGGGGTGGGCTCCGGTTAGTCATCGCCCTCCATGCCGCCAGGGTGCGCATAAAGACGGACTCCCACCTAGTGGTCAATCAGCTGAAGAACGAATGCGTGACCAGGGAAGAAAGGCTAGTGCTTTACAAAGACGTGGCCGAAGGGTTATTAGATAAATTGGAGGCCTACGAGATTACTCACATCCTGCGAGCTGAGAATACGGAGGCAGATATCCTATCTAAGTTGGCGTCGGGAAGTACGCCTTCGCACCTGTCGATGGCTCGTCGCACCGAGGTCATAGAGCGGCCGAGCACCGAAGTGCTCTCGGTTTGCACAGTTCTCCGGGTGTCCTCTCCCCCGCCTGACAAAACAACCTCATCCGACTGGCCGTGGTTTGCGGACATGGTCAGATACAAAGAAAAGGCAGAGTTGCTCAATAAAAAGGAAGACGCTGATCACATTAGGAGGAGGGCTTCGTCCTACAAGTTGGTGGACGGGTTGCTCTACAAACGATCCTTTGGGGGCCGACTGCTATGTTGCCTGCCTCCCGAAGAAGCTAGGACCGTGATGGCGGCCAACCATCGAGGGATCTGCGCGGCCCACCAGGGCGCCAACACATTGGCCAGAAAGCTCGTCATTCAGGGCTATTACTGGCCGACCATGATAAAGGATTATGTCGAAGAAGTGCTAAGATGTCCCGTCTGCCAAATGTTCGCTAGAAAGGGCACCCGACCAGTGACCTTCTATACACCAATCACCACGGCGATCCCATTCGCCAAGTGGGGCATCGACCTACTCGGACGGCTCCTCTAGGCGCCCGGGCGAGTGCGCTTCTGTATAGCGACCGTGGACTATTTCACTAAATGGGCAGAGGCAGAGCCCTTGGCGACTATCACCGAGTATCAGTGCCGTCGCTTTGTTTGGAAAAACATCATATGCAGATTCAGGCTACCCGAGTAGCTCGTAACGAATAACGGACGACAGTTTGACAACCGAGCCTTCGCGGCCTTCTGCGTGCAGAAGGGTATACAACACATCAAAGTATCTGTGTCCTACCCCTGGGCCAACGGACAGATTGAGAACCTAAACCGCGCCCTCCGGGATGAGTTGCGAAAGAAGTTGGAAGAACTGGGCGCCACGTGGGTCGAATAGTTAGAAAAGGTATTATAGGCTTACCGAACAACCCCGCGGAGGGCTACTGCCAAGACCCCCTTTGCCTTGGCATACGGGTTCGAGGCTAAGGTCCCGACGGAACTCTTAGTGCCTAGCCGTCGCGTCTTGCAGTATAATGATGAAGGCAACGAGGAAACATTGCGAATCGAGAAGAACCTCTTGGAAGAAAGGCGAGATGTGGCTTATGCCCGGATGGTCAAATACCAACAAGCTGTCAAGCGCTATCAGGATAAGAGAGCCAAGACTAGATACCTCCAAATAGGGGATCTCGTGTTGAAGGAAAGGACGGCTAGCCGACCCACTGAAGGGGGAAAAATTGCGGTCAAGTGGGAAGGACCATACTGGGTAGTGAATGAAGTTTACTCGGGGACTTACCGATTAGAAACCACGGAAGGAGAGCCCATGGAGCGAACATAGAATGCCCACCATCTTAAGAAATTCTATCAGTAACCGGACAGTTGCATCTGTCTCTCAGTTTTTATCCTTCGATTAGTTCGTTGTAGGCACCTGGCGGCCAATAGTTCGTGGGAATTTCCTTTCACTCGGTTGACAATAAAATTCAAAGTATTTCGGCAATAAGGTTCTCCGTTGGTTTATGATACCGCCTGCTGATAAACATTATTTTTAGTGTTATTTTAAATCATTTTTTTAATAATTAATTCACAATAATTGATTAATTCTTATCTATTTTTATTTATTATTGCTATAATTAGTTTTTAGTAATATTATTAAATTTTAGGTTGTTTTTATTAAATTTGTCTATTATTTGAATTCTGTCAGTCCAACAATTCTTTGATCCTAATTTAAAATAATAATAATAATAATAATAATGATAACAGTAGTTTAGTTATACTTGATCAACATGAGTTTTAATAATTGTAGGGTTCTATTTGGCTCTAATTTATTTTAATTAAGCTTTTAGTTGAATAATATTTGGTGAATCGCTAGTCAAAATAAACAGCGAAAGAAGATTTTAGTCAAAACAAACGAACGAAAAAGTAGATCAAGAGCTTTCTTCGGCCATCGCAGGCGACACAGAGCTCTAGTCGGCCATGGAAGAGCGGAAAACTTGAGGGAAAACGGTTGATCCGAAATAGTATAAAAGATGTCCAAGGTTCATCTTCTTCGACATCAATTTCACCCCGGATCAATTCCGGAGGGGATCCACAGCAGAATTCTGGTGAGCAACAAATTCCGATTGGCGGCTTTAATTTCTGGGCGCGGCAGATTTTAGGCGGAGGTGGTAGAATTTCTTGGCGTGGCTTTGGGGAATTCTTTACTGCATTAGCTTCATCAAGTCTTCAGCAACTTCAACTCTAATTAATTTATGCGACAATTCTTTACAGTAACTTTCACTTTCTTTAATTCTTTGTTATTGTTACTTTGATAGTTTGCCTTTGTGATTGGTCTTTGGAATTAAAGCTGACATTGTGTAAGCTTGTTGATGTTAATTTCTTCATACATTGCTAAATTATTATCTAGGAATATGATTGAAGTTATTATGAAAGTTCTGCAGTGATTTAGGTTTAATTTTTGCCAATTGATTATATTTTCCTAGTATTTATTCTCTTGGTATTTCGTTTCGTGGTTAATTTATTTTCTGTCTTGTTTTCGCATGCGATTCCATTTAGTTTAATCCAAATTGATTGTTGTTTAGTTTAATCTGTTTGTTAATATGCTTTCTGGTTTAATTTTATTGTTTAACTTCCTTGAGTTTATTAATCTTTATCTTAGGCCTTTGATTCTAGTACTTTAAAGTCTCTCTTCCCACTATTTCACGTTATTAAATTGCATAATATCAATTCCTTGTGGGATCGACCCTTGCGAAAGCACACTACTACTACAGTGACTCGTGCACTTGCGAGGACATATATATATAAAAATTGTTCATCACCTGCTCAGGCGAAGGCGGCCATGCTGCGAGGATGATCACCTCCTCTCTACGAGGACGGCTGATATCGCCTGCTCTGGCGAAAGCGGCCATGCCGCGAGGATGATCACCTCCTCTCTATGACACCCCGTAAATCTAAATTCTATTTATGGATTAATTAATTAATTAATTAATCCTAATCTAATTGTAATTTATTCTTTTAATTTATGAAAAGTCAATAGTCGGGGACTAGTAATTGACTAGTGAACCCAAGTCAAGGTGTTGTGCCTAAAGCTTTGTGAATAGTTCCCTTGTTCCCTTACACTTCTTCATCTTAGTAAGGGTAATGAAGACATTTCACCTCATGATTGTATTCCAAGCTAACCTAGAAAACACCTTTCATTCTTTTCCTTACACTTTCAAAACATAAGCTCTTCCTTCTCTCTAGAAATTTAGCTAGCTTTTCCTTCAAGCTAAGTTGGGACTTTCCAAGATCTTCAACGTTTGTCTCCAAGATTCCACCTTTCCTAGTCTTGAGCATCTAGGAGGGTAGATCTATGTTCCTTTTGTGTTTTTAGTGTTTTCTAAGGTATCTTTTTCTAAAGATGAAATCTTTATGGTCTTTTGGTGTGTTCTTGATGTTGAGGTTGAAGGTGAACGTTGTTAGGAGCTTGAAAAGGTGTTGAATGTGAAGGTTTTGTCTACAAGAGGTAACCAATGCTTTACAAAAATCTATTTTCATTAGCTATACGATGATTTCTTGGATTCTACATGTGATTTTGCTATGAAATGTGAGTATTGATGCATTGTCTTGTGAAAATGAATATCTAGAGCTTGTTATTAGGGTTCTTGTATGCCATTGCTTGACTACTCCTTTGATTCAAGTCATTTTATTGTATTTGTTGAGATTTTGCATGTTTTGAACTTGAATTTGAGCTTGGTGTTGAAAATCCCCGAAGGGATATTTTGGTACAGGGTGTTGTACCCGCTGGCGGAACCGCGGGTAGGGGTCCACCTGCCGCCCCACCTGTGGGGTACGTTGGTTGTGGGAGTGTGTTCTCGCAAGCGGAACCACGGGTGGGGGTCCACCCGTGGCCCCACCCACGGGGTACGTATATGGTGATGGTTGGGGATTTGTTTCCCGTGATTCTTTTGGTTCGGTAATTGATGTTTTGACTTTCCGATGTTCTTTTGTGGAACTATTTGAGTGTCTTTTATGGAACATCTACCATATAGTTCTAGACATACAAAACATCAAGAAGACACTCAAATAGTTCCACAAAAGAACAACGGGAAGCGAAAAGACCAAATACCGAGTCAAAAGAATCACGGGGAACAAATCCCCCAACAACCTCATCATGTTCCCCGCGGGTGGACCCACGGGTAGACCCCCACCCGTGGTTCCGCCCGCGGGTACACACCCACCGGCCTTATGTTCCCCGCGGGTGGGCGGCGGTTAGGCCACTGCCCGCCGTTCCGCCCGCGGGTACGTACCTGTGCCCAAAATAATCCCTTCGGGGATTTTCAACACCAAACTCAAATTCAAGTCCAAAACATGTCAAATCTCACCAAATACAACAAAATGACTTGAATCAAAGGAATATCCAAGAAATGGCATACAAGAACCCTAAACACAAGCTCTAGATATGCATTTTCACAAGACAATGCATAAACACTCACATTTCATAGCAAAACACATGTAGAATCCAAGAAATCATCATATAGGTAAGCAAAATAGATTTTGTAGAGCATGGGTTACCTCTTGTAGACAAAAACCTTCACTTAACACTTCACCAAGCTCCTAATAAGGCTCACCTTCCAAACCCACTTCAAGAACACACCAAAAGATCATAAAGATTCTATCTTTAAGAAAAGACACCTTAGAAAACACTAAAAACACAAGATGAACATAGATCTTACCCTCCTAGATGCTCAAATGTATGAAAGGTAGAATCTTGGAGACAACCTTTGAGTATTTGGCAAAGCTCCAACTTGGCTTGGAAGAAAAGCTATCTAACTTTTAGAGAGAAGGTAGAGCTCAAATTTGGGAAGCGTAAGGAGCAAGAATGAGGAGTGTCTACTAGGTTAGCTTGCATTCCTAACACAAGGTGAAATGTCATGAATACCCTTACTAAAATGAAGAGGTGCAAGGGAACAAGAGAACTCCTCACAAAGCTTAAGGTACAACCTTGACTTTGGGGTTGACTAGTCAATTACTAGTCCCCGACTATTGAATTTTCAGGAATTTAAGGAATTAAATTACCAATTGGTTTACGATTAATTACTTAATTAATCCCATAATTGAATTTGGATTACGGGGTGTCACATCCTCTCCCCCTTCAAAGAAGCTTCGTCCCCGAAGCTTGGGTACGACGAATTAAGCAAACGGTGAAACGAAACAACTATGTGACAAGAGTGCCAAGAATAATCTCTTTTGGTCAAACCCAAAGGATTCACAAGACATCAAAGCAAGTAGGAAGTACATCAACATTAAGATTGAAAGAATGAAACCAACGAGGTAATGAGCATGTCAAACTCTAAACCAAACACAACTGTCAACTTCTAACCAATAACTAAGAACCAAACAAGTAGCTCAAAGCACCAACTAACAAAGCTAACTACTCAACTAATCAAACAAGCAAGAACAAGCACACAAGGCAAGCAACAAGCAACTAACAAACGGTAACAACAACTAAGGGGATAACCACAACTAAGGAAAGGCGAACGGGATACCACAACTCCGAGCTAGAACGACTCGCTCTCCGACTCA